TGGCCTTGGGGATGTTAGCTCCGATTAACAGTCCTACTTCTGCATTAACGGCTGGAAGCTTCACCTCCTTTAGGTGAGGCCACCTGCTGACATCCTCTTGGCGTGGGATATTACCCTTTGTCACGGGAATGGCCTTCTGGGAAAACACCTCTGAAAGTTCAATAAACTGGTCACCTTCCAGGTTACTGATTTCCAGTCCTGTCACTATACGTGTGTTCACCACAGACTCATTCCCCATTGTTCGCAAGGATATGCTGGTGCGTCGTCCATTCAGGTTCAGATCATTTATTAGTGACTCAGTTGCAAAGGTAGCGGAGCTGCCTGGGTCCAGAAATGCGTACGTGGTCACTATCTTGGTTCCTTTCTGTGCCTTGACTTGTACCGGAACTATGGACAGGAAACAATCTTCTTTACCGGCCCCAGTGACACTACATATTTCAGATGCTTGAACATGAGCGTTTGCAACAGCTTGCTCATCTGTACTTTCTTTGTCTTTCTTTGTTTCGTCTTTTGACTCTTTAAAAGTGATGTGCAGCAGAGTGGGATGTGGACGAGCACAGTCTTGACATTGAGCCTTCTCTTTACAGCTGCTACTCATATGGCCATGTTTCAAGCATGCAAAGCACAGCCCTTTACTTTTCAAAAACTCAATCTTTTCCTTATGAGGCTTCTTCTTGAATCCTTTGCAGACTGAGAAACTGTGGTGTTCTCCGCTGCAATAAAGACATGGTTTCCCATTTACATCCACTGATTTTGTTTTATTAGGTGTTGAGCTATCGTTCTCTTTCTTCTCTTTGTTTTCTGCTGACGAAGCAACGGATGTTGTGAAAACTTTCTTAGATTTAACCATGTCCTTGTCTTGTATTTTTGATTTCAGTCGAATGGGATCCTTCATGTTGGTGATGGTGTTGTCTTTTATGTTCCCATACAGAGGGTGTATTAAGTACTTGGCCTGTTTGTTCACAAATTCAACAAAATCTTTGAATTTAACTCTTTTCTTAGTTTTTTCTTGCAAGTCACAGGCATATTTTCTCCAGGATTCCTTCAGCTTGTAGGGAAGCTTGCTAGCTAATGCTTTAATGCATGCTGCATTGTCCAAGTCTTCCATGTAGCTAATATCTGCCATTGTGTTGGAGCAGCCAATCAGGAACAATGCGAATGACTGTAGTGCAGCGCCATCTTCTGGTTTGATTGTTTGCCAGTCCATAGCTTCCTTTAAGTATGCCTCTGCAATCTTGTAGTCATCACCGAAGTAGTCCTGTAACATTTGCTTTGCTTTGACATATCCTGAAGAAGGTGGCATGTGAATGCAGCTTTTCACCAACTCATGTGGTTGCCCACTTGTGTACTGCAGTAAGAACTGCAAGCGGTCACGTTCATCCTCAGTTCTGCTTTCAATACCATGTTCAATGGATCTGATAAATGATTTATACTCCAATGGATCTCCTTTGAATGTTTTAATTGTGAGATCAGGAAGTAAAGATGCTTTGTGATTCTTCACTAAGTATTCGGTCACATTAGCCTGTTGAGTTATGGCTTGGCACAAACTTTCCAGCACAACTGTGTCATTTTCTTTCTTTTTTGCATCTGTTATATTTTCTTTGGGTCTAACAGGCAAGTTCTGATTAAATGATTCACGTCTGGTATAATTTGATATGGGCGTGGTGGGTCGTGGCAGCTGGGCAGCACTTTTCATTGACATTTTGTCATCTGACGCTTCAGATCCACCAAAGCTCACATCATCCTGCTCCTCCTCATATTTTTGTAAAACTTGCAATTTCGCATCTGATTCAGCTAACTTTGTTTGAATTTCATGCATTTCTTTCTTAGCTTTAATGGCAGCTTCCTTTCTCTTTCGCTCTGCCTCAAGCTCTGCTTCCTCCTGTTCAATGGCCAATTTTTCCATTAAAGCATCAGCCTTAACTTTCAGTGATACACGCTCAAGCTCAGCTTGCATTTTCATTTTGGAGGAAGATGACTGTGTGCTTGAATGTCGTGAACTAGACTTTTTGGTGCGCACTGATCTGTTATCAGTTTGCCTAGCATCATTCTCTTGTTTCTTTGCCTGCTCAGTTCGTTTCATAACTTCTTTCATCCAATTTTCACATTTCCAGAAGAAATCATTCATTGAGGCTTGTTTTGGTTCAAAATAGTTCGTTTGATTTTCCAAAAATTCTTCCTCACTCATGTATAGCTGTAAACTAAAGTTTGTGTCAGTGAATTCGGTCAGTAAACCACCGAAATCGACACGCAGCTTATTTTTAACCAGGTCGGCATTCGCGTCATCCGCCATTAATTCCTCAAGTTGGTTAATCATGCTTCCAAGCTGGGCCAGCTTGCCCCTACGTGCATTCAATATCCTGTTTTTATGATCTTCCATGCCCTTTTCTGTCATCTTTACAACTCGTTTCTTTTGTGTCTCTTGCATGTCAGCTTAAATCTTTCTCATCCACATTAATCAGCGAACCTTCGCGCACGTTGCTTTCTAATGAATTCCACTCGTCTTTCAGTCTTAACTGACACACGGCCAATCCGTAGCAGTTTTTTTTTTTTACTTACAGTTGTCGGTTTCCTTCTGAGAGAAAAAGTCCACAGATCCATGCAGGGGTTCCAGTAATCCTTGTAGAGCAAGTTTTTTGACTAAAATGTAGTTTCTTACTGTCCTTATTGAAGCTTTAGCTTGACGCTCATCAGACTCCCTTGTATCCAAAAAATAAATCCACGAGTCCACTTCTTGACTTCAACGGTTTACTTGAAAACTTAACGCAACATTACAGAAAACATAAAATACATCCATGAAATTAAGTCCTTTTAAAGTCCAACGGAGCCTGGGAAGGGTGAGGTCAAAAAACTATTGCGCTCCAATCTCCATCTGATTCCCACTGCATTCCTCACCTGGCATGAAGATAAACCACTCCCCTTTGTGGGTTTTTAAATGTCACAATAAAAGTCATATCTTTCTCACAATATCAATTAACTGAACATATAAAAATTGCATTTTTTAATCCTTTTAAATCCCTTAGAATCATTAAATCAAAAACAATATTTATCTTACTTATGATTTCGCATATTTTTAAATAAAATAGAAAATAAATATTCTAACTCAAATAAACTGCATTTAGGCTCCTACAGCTTTCATACACACTACTAGAAAGCTTTCATACACACTACTGGAAAGCTTTCATACTCACTACTGGAAAGCTTTCATACACACTACTAGAAAGCTTTCATACTCACTACTGGAAAGCTTTCATACACACTATTAGAAAGCTTTCATACACACTACTGGAAAGCTTTCATACTCACTACTAGAAAGCTTTCATACACACTACTGGAAAGCTTTCATACTCACTACTGGAAAGCTTTCATACACACTACTAGACAGCTTTCATACACACTACTGGAAAGCTTTCATACTCACTACTAGAAAGCTTTCATATACACTACTGGAAAGCTTTCATACACACTACTGGAAAGCTTTCATATACACTACTAGAAAGCTTTCATACTCACTACTAGAAAGCTTTCATACTCACTACTGGAAAGCTTTCATACACACTACTGGAAAGCTTTCATACTCACTACTGGAAAGCTTTCATACTCACTACTGGAAAGCTTTCATATACACTACTGGAAAGCTTTCATACACACTACTAGAAAGCTTTCATACACACTACTAGAAAGCTTTCATACTCACTACTGGAAAGCTTTCATATACACTACTGGAAAGCTTTCATACTCACTACTGGAAAGCTTTCATACACACTATTAGAAAGCTTTCATACTCACTACTGGAAAGCTTTCATACTCACTACTAGAAAGCTTTCATACTCACTACTGGAAAGCTTTCATACACACTATTAGAAAGCTTTCATACACACTACTGGAAAGCTTTCATACACACTACTGGAAAGCTTTCATACACACTACTGGAAAGCTTTCATATACACTACTGGAAAGCTTTCATACACACTATTAGAAAGCTTTCATACACACTACTGGAAAGCTTTCATACACACTACTGGAAAGCTTTCATACACACTATTAGAAAGCTTTCATACACACTACTGGAAAGCTTTCATACTCACTACTGGAAAGCTTTCATACACACTATTAGAAAGCTTTCATACTCACTACTGGAAAGCTTTCATACGCACTACTGGAAAGCTTTCATACGCACTACTGGAAAGCTTTCATACGCACTACTGGAAAGCTTTCATACGCACTACTGGAAAGCTTTCATACGCACTACTGGAAAGCTTTCATACTCACTACTGGAAAGCTTTCATACGCACTACTGGAAAGCTTTCATACACACTACTGGAAAGCTTTCATACGCACTACTGGAAAGCTTTCATACGCACTACTGGAAAGCTTTCATACGCACTACTGGAAAGCTTTCATACTCACTACTGGAAAGCTTTCATACTCACTACTGGAAAGCTTTCATACGCACTACTGGAAAGCTTTCATACGCACTACTGGAAAGCTTTCATACGCACTACTGGAAAGCTTTCATACTCACTACTGGAAAGCTTTCATACGCACTACTGGAAAGCTTTCATACTCACTACTGGAAAGCTTTCATACGCACTACTGGAAAGCTTTCATACGCACTACTGGAAAGCTTTCATACTCACTACTGGAAAGCTTTCATACATACTCACTACTGGAAAGCTTTCATACATACTCACTACTGGAAAGCTTTCATACGCACTACTGGAAAGCTTTCATACGCACTACTGGAAAGCTTTCATACGCACTACTGGAAAGCTTTCATACGCACTACTGGAAAGCTTTCATACACACTACTGGAAAGCTTTCATACATACTCACTACTGGAAAGCTTTCATACTCACTACTGGAAAGCTTTCATACACACTATTAGAAAGCTTTCATACTCACTACTGGAAAGCTTTCATACTCACTACTGGAAAGCTTTCATACACACTATTAGATTTCACTATAAATATCTCTTTTTTCCTTTTTTATGTCTACAGGCAATTCACATCATGATTGGCCTGCTTAATATTGGCCTCAGCATCATCGTGACAGTGACATACAATTCTCCTTGGTATCTGGAATCCTATTACCCTGTCTGGATGGGATCTCTGGTGAGCAAACTAATGGATTTCAGATTGTGAGCCTTATCTGGAGTTGGAACATTTTAAATTTTGCTGCTCAATGCTCCACATGAACCAATCAGAGAAGTTGATCTGGGAGCTGTCAGGGAGACAGACACAGCACTGCTGATGCAGAGCGCTATGATCACTCCTCTGAAACAGTTTATTAACGCCTAAATTAACTTAAAATGTCAAAACCTGCCTTTATTTTTCTGGTGCCTGCAGTTTGTAGCACAGACCTGAAAAACACTAACGTCTACTTCCAGCCGCCACCAACAGTAGGGGAAAACCCCAAGAGGCGACCGGGTCTGAGGCAGCTGTATGATGTTCCGTTTATTTCAAAGCTCCCACAAGCAAAATAAACATAATGGCATTTATGTTAAACTACTATTGCGCATTGTTTATCTACCACCACACAGGAAAATCACACATGCACGAGAAAATGCCGCTCAAAGAGGAGAAAATTGCATCTTTTGACGCACCTTGATTTGCATCAACCATTGACTTTGCATGTAAAACGACTGCTTCTGCTGCTCAAAGCATGTTTGATTTTAACGAAGCATTAAAGAGAATCTACAGGATGCATGAAAAGAGAAGCATGATGGACTAATGCAGGGGACATATTAGGGGCCGTATGGGATAGAATCAGAATGCATCTAACTGGAGAGTGGTTTCTTTGTGAATGTGTGCCCTTCTGGCAGGACAGAGATTAAAAAGCTCAACACAGGGAACAAAATGATGTCATTTTCTTCTCACAGCTGTGAGAGCGAGAAAAATCTTTTTCTTTTGGTAGAATTTGGAGAAGCTTGAGGCAGAATTCAGCTTCCATGATTTCATCTGTGGGTCAATCTCTCATTGAAGACTATTTACTGCTCAACTCCAGTAATCAACCATTAGGCGCCGTAATGTGTGTTTCTCCTACATGATTTTTAGTTTTATTTTCGATGTAAAGTATTTAGGTTGTTTTTTTCTTTCTATCGTTTTTTCCAGTTCATTGTGTTCGGGATCGTGTGCCTTCTGTCTGAGAAGTTTCCGAGTCCATGCCTGGTGAGTGATTCGATGAACACGTTCCTTTCTTCAGCTCTTCTTCTTTGATTTCATTACATAAATACATTATTGGGTTTTTGTACATTAAATGATTCATCATCTTTCAGATCGTCCTCAATGTGATTTTCAACATTGCTGGAGCCGCTATGGCAATTGCTGCCATTGTGCTCTACAGCATATATGAGGGAGATTTTCGCGCCTGGTATCCCTGTGAGGAGAACGAATACTACTACGACTACCGGCGATATACAACCACAGCACCAAGTCCAGGCTCTGAATACATCAAGCAAAGATGCCTGGAGAATAGAGCTGTGTACACAGTAAGACAAAACTGTGGGATCAGTGATTTATCTATTTCTATTCTTTATGTACAATTTTAAACGGCTCATAGAATGATTCTATAGGGTATTTGGTCCTTAAGGTCTCTGAATACGGTGTGTAACATTGGTTGGGCTGAAAATGGCATATTTGCTGTTCTATGAGCCCTAATGCAATCCTGGTTAAAAGCCCTAGAATCAAACGACAGGTTTTCCTCCTTTTATGGTATGATCATGAATATTTAGATGAGCTGACCAGACGTCCTCTTTTTCCTGGACATGTCCTACTTTTCTGAAACTAAAAAAATGTCCTGGAGGGGGGGGGGGGGTTCAAAGTTGTCCGGGATATTGGTCGACTACTCTGCAGCAGAACCGAGCCATGAGCTCCGGGGCTGGTTTGGGGAACCCCGGCGGGGGCAGGGAGCAACCGAACCCGACCTGTTGACGGTACCCCGGCCCCCAGCCCCACTCCTCCTGCTGAGGACGGGCGGCTCGTGGCTCTCTGCTAAGGTCCGGTCCAGTCAGCGGCCCAGAAGTCGACACTTCATACCCGCCCCCCCCGATTGCCCCGATGATTTAAAACGTTGTGGTTGCTCAGACAATGGTAAAAACATAATGCAGCATCCATATGACGAGCTGGTAGCGTCTGTGTTAGCGTGTCTAATGACCGATGAAGACTGGTCACCTGATTGACGACAAAACTGTCTCAAACGGTTCGACTGTCTCGGTTCGGTTCGCGTGTGTTGCGTTCGGTTCATGCGCTGCTCCTTTTTCTCATAGGCGAAGCGTTTACACTCCAGAGCAGAAGGTGGTGGTACTGCGACCAAAGCCAACCACCAGTAGTAAACAAGAAGAAGAAGAAGCGAAGCAGCGTAGCCGGGTGTAGCAGAAAAAATCAGTTGTTGTGGAGAATTGTGTGGGTATGGCGAGTGGGAAAGAACAGGAGTTGGAAGACGCGCCAGCAGCACTTTATAGGTCTGCTGTATGGGACCACTTTGCATTTAGAGTGACCTACGATGACGGCGGAAAGAAAGTTGTGGATAAAAGTGCAACAGTGTGCAAGCATTGTGCAACACGTTTTGTTTATGCCAACAGCAACACGACCAACATGTCATGCTAACCCCGAAATCCCACATACTCCGTCAGCGCTCCGCCCCGCTGCGCTCCAGACCGGCTGCACAAAGCAAAGCCTACAGCCTCCGCTGTGGCTCCCGTCCGCTCCGCTCTGAGTTCCTTGGAGATCGTAGAGGGCAGCGCCAGATGATTAAATTCATAGCAGCAAAACATGCGGAAATGATCCATGGTTTCCGCGGATCATTAAAAATAATTACAATTCATAATTTTTGGGGGGATTTTTTCATTAATTTCATTAATTTTTATGGGATTTCGGTGTAGCAATCAACACATACCGAACCTAACCGAAAACCGTGACCACGAAACCGTGAACCGAACCGAACCGTGGATTGTGTGAACCGTTCCACCCCTAGTATAAAGGCAGACCTGGGTAGGTCTGTGGCTAGCTGTGCTCAGTAGCTAACAGGTTAGCCTCTTTTAGCTCGTTCAGTTAGTCATATTAAGCTACACTATGTTTAACTTTGTGTCAACAACAATCATTCATTTTCTCCAAGTAGAGAAATAAATAATGTAATCATGGTACTAAAAGTACTTATTTCTATCCTTGACTCACTAAAGAATACTAATACACATCTTTTAAATATTTTTTTTGACTTTCCTGAGACAATTTAACGTTTTTTTACATTTTCACCTGGACATCATCATTGGGCATAGTCAGAGTAGACGGGCAAAATGTGATTAAACCATTTTTATATATTGATGGAGCAAATTTCATGCATTCATACATTATCTATATAAACAAAGTGCTCGCTTGATGGACATTGATAAAAAGCAGGTTAATCCAGAGAACAAACTAATTCCTTTTATAGAGCTAAAGGTATCTGTGTTTGTATTCTGCAGATGCTGATTAGAGGCATGGTTGGCATCCTGATCGTCCTGTCAGTCGTGGAGGTTTGTGTCGCCATCAGCTCTGCTGTGTTGGACATCAAAACTCTGAGACGCAGCAGACAGAAGCAGGAGAAGGTGAAGTATTGATCAACAAGATTCATGTTCAATCTGTATATTTGCAGAGTTAATGATCCGTAACTTAACTAACTTCTGCATTAGAACTGAAATTAGATTTAGATTTTTCTAAACTTTAAAATAGATAAAAGTTAAGTGGTTAACTACAAGAAATTCTTCTTTATGCATTAATCTAAAAAACTTTTTTTTTGTCTTTCATATTTGTATTGATTGGTATACACTAAAGCAGGGGTAACCAATTAAAAAGCGAGCGGGGTCTGAATAAGGAAAATCATCAACCAGTAAAGGTCCGGAGACATTTATCAGTTACTTTAAACATCATTTAACACAGAAATAAAATCAGGTTTTTGTGCATTCGTGTTATACATTGACTTTTTAAATGAAAAAACATTAAGAAAAATAGAAACTTTTCCCATTTTAAAATCCAAAGTGTTTTTCGAACAACAGCAATCGTTCAGTTTGGTATATAAACAATTTCCTAATTCAAATATTTTATAAAACACCTGAACTGATTGTTTTTTATTTTCTTTCTTTTTCCTGTCTTAATGTTGGCAGAGGGCTTTAGGCTGCCCTGCAAGGCTTTAAACCTGGGTTTAACCGGAGACTAAGCCATTCTCAAGCACATATCAAGGTGCTCATTTTGAGCCTGGATCCAGATTTATTGTTGATTCTGTTCATGGTGGAGAATCCTGCTTCACAGCAGCAGGTTGAGCCAAACATCCTCTAAGTGTGCAGGGTCATATTTGAGCACGCCATTTCACTTTTCTTTCACCAGTTCACCGCAGTTCTTCCAGCAGTCCACATTTTCTCTGCTCTCTTTTTCCCATCGCCCGGCTTATGACAGGTTTGCCTAAAAGTAGCAGCAGCAGCTAATAGAGTTTTCCCTCTTATCAGACCGGGTGAAACAACTGAGCCGATCACAGCTAGTACGGCACCCCTGTCTGTTTGCCGCCGCCATGTTGCCTCTGGCCAAAACGAAGAAGAAAAAAAAGTTTGCCGGCGGCCGCTTCTTGTTTCCGTACAATTGAACATATGCCATCCATAACAGTTTTCTTTCACAAAAAGAAACAAGATAAAAGAATGAGAAAGAAAACAAAAATTATATAAAGAAAAAACAAAAAAAACATCGGGGTTTAGCTAAAGTATATTGCTATCAAGTCTGAAAGCTTTAAGGCCTTGTTGTTCTCCAGTAACTTAATCGAGGCATGAAAACTTTTAATATCATTTTGGAATGCTTGAAAATTTGGAGAAACTTTAAAGAATCTGCACTTGTGGATAAAGAATTTTCCCATAATGAAAATAATATTACATAAAAATTCCACATTTTTATCATGAAAAGTAATGCCAAATTGAACTCACTCTAATAGCTGTCTGTTAGTAGCTAACTGACGTTTTGTAATTCTGTTTAAGAAAACAGTTGAGCGCAGCCGTTGTGTCACGTGACCAAATGAGCTAATTTCATTGGCTAGAAGCTGCTCGACTCTATCGAGTGTAGATTGCTTTGGTTTGAGTTCACCAAAAGGTCAACACTTTTGCGGCTGAATTTTTTGCAGCTGAATTTTTTTCAGGTGAATTTGTACCAGATAAAAATTGAGTGTAAGGAATTCAATGTCTAAAAAAATTCAGTGTTTAAAATTCGGTGTTAAAAAAATTCAGTGTTTAAAATTTGTTATTAAAAATATTCAGTGTTTAAAATTGGTTGTTAAAAAAAGGCAGATTCCAATGAGACTGTTTTTCTTCCATGCTCGATTAACCTTTCGTCGTAGTTGTCCATTGTAGTTGTTCCTCGGTTTTTAAAAACAGCACGTCCTTCACTGAAGGAGAAGGACGACCACACAGAAAGCCGGAAAGGCATACCAAGAACCAATGACGGCTACTTTCTGTCTGCGCACTTCAGCTTGAGGTCTGCGTGGGTTTGCGACCATCCCAGTCAGGATTCTTTTTAGGTGCGCGACGACGGTTGCTTAACCTCTGCGTAGGGGCGTGGTCGTGCACAGAGACAGATGGTTGCAGAGGCTATGCATCGGACGCATAAATTGGCCATGAGAGAGAGAACGCCGTCAGACTAACAAACATTTACCTGCATCCTGTTTTTTTTGGGGGGGGGGTTTTCCCTGAGAGTTTATAATTTTGAAGAAACTAAGGTTTGAAAATTAGGACAGTACAAAGAAAACAATTGTAAACTACATCCTATGTGATTCTTTATCTTTAATCTGTTGTTTTTCTTTCTTGTTTCACTTAATATGTTTGTTTTTCTCCTGTAGGCCTCAGGTGACCCAGAGCTTTACAATCCGCTGCTGGAGGAAGTCACCATCCAGCCTGCAGCCTGAACATCTTCAGCTTTAATCCAGCAGTTCTGGTCTCTGATGGGATTAAAAGCCGCATCAATTATTCAATAACATTTCTAAACATTTAGCATATTTTCTCCAAGTAATGCTTTTCTATTGCCTTCTGCACTTTCATTTAAATCTGTGCTAATTTATTCCAGCAGATTTTAATCATCAATGTGCATTCTGAGTTTGACTTTTTTTTTTATGTTGATGTAGTTGTAGCTTTGCACCACTTAACCAAAACAGCAAATTAAACCAGTTATGAAAACAGTTTATCGTGTCTTTTTTTTTTTTTTGGTTCACTTGAAGTGACAAAATAAATTTAATAGTCAGGGGAAGATTCAATTCAGTTTATTTCTATAGCTCCAATTCACAACACATGGCAAGGCAATCCCTCACACTAAGCATGCATGTAGCCACAGTGGAGAGGAAAAACTCAATTTTAACAGGAAGAAACCTCCAGCAGAACCAGGCTCAGTGTGAGAAGCGATTCTTGTGGGATGGAAGAGGGAAATAGTGACAATGAAGAAGATATGAAGAGGGTAGCCTCAAAAAATGAGAAAAAGCGGAAAAAAAACAGATCAGTTGAGGGGGAGTCCAGTTCAGAACATTCAAGTGATGATCATACATTCCACAGCAAAACAGACTGAATACAAAGTCATTTTCAAAGTTGTTAATCAGGGAGACTATTTTGCAAATTGGAATCCGGTTCACTTAACAAAAACCATAAGTAAACTTGTTGGAAAATTCGGAGATGCCAGAATCCTGTACAGTGGAGACCTGTTAATCAACTGCAGGGACAACCTCAGCAAAGCAAAGCCATTCAGGTCAATAAAATTGACGGGATAAGAGTTCAGTGCAGGTGGAGAACAAAAAGATCAGCAGGGGAGTGATTGGAGGAGTTCCTCTCAGAGAGTCTGAAAAAGAAATTTTAGAAAACAGCGGTGCAAAAGTAAAATAAGTGTAACAGTTAAAAACAACAAGAAACGGAGAAAGATCTGACTGTATCTATATTAATTACATTTGAAGAAGAGCAATTACCCATTAAAGTATTCATTGGTTACATCAGCTATAATGTTAACATTTACAATCCTCCACCTCCGAGATGTTTCAGTTGCATAAAAATTCTGAGACACAGCAGCAGTTTGTAAAGGGACAGAGTTGTGGAAGGTGTGCAGGAGAGAATGAGTAAAAATAAAATAAAATGCTGTAACTGTGGTGGAGAACATGCTGCTGCTTATCGCGGCTGTGAAGCAAGCAAAAGGTCTAATCAGAATTACTTAAGCTGAAGCTGCAAAAACAGAGTGCGAAATACGGGGGGGTCCGGGGGGCTTTCAGGGGGTCCATGGGACCCTCCAAAGCTAAATTTAAAGGGGGTCTTAAATTGTGTGCAAATAGCGATAGAAATCTTCTCTGCCCACCTCATAAGTCTGACACAAATCCTCAAATTTTACTAGCTCCCCATTTTTAATTATATTACAGAATGCAGTGATTCCCTGTTTTGTCCACCTTCTATATTTATGGTCTATCGATGCTGGAAGGAAACGCGGGTGGTACGCAGGCCAACTCAATACTCCCACACGCCTGTGGAGATTGAACTTTTTAACCACCTCTGCCCACTTCTTCAAAGAGAAACTCAAACACAAATTTTGTACTTGGTATACCTGAGGTAGCCCATCCAAACATCCCAACACAGACTGTATAGGAAAGTTCAGTAAAGAAAGCTCAATGTCCTTCCATTTAGCCTGATATGCTGGGTTACACCAGACACCAGAGGTCTAATCTGGGCCGACAAGTAATAATCTGCCAGGCACGGCAAACCCATACCTCCCCGATCCCCCGGCAGCTGCAGGGTCAAGTATCTTATTCTTGGTCTTTTATTGTTCCATATAAACCTTTAAAAACGTTTATCCCACTCTCTAAATTGTTTTGCTGGAACCTCTACTGGAAGTGCTGCAAATATATACAGTAATCTTGGAAGGACATTTATCTTTATTGTTCGGATTCTGCTGCCAAGATCAAGGGGGAGCAGGCTCCACCTGTCCAGGTCTTCATATACTTTCTTATTAATTAGTTTATAATTGACTTCATATAGTTGAGCCAAATTTGTTGTTAATATAACCCCCAGGTACTCTATTTGTAGTTGATGCCAATTAAATTGGTAACTATTTATTAACTTTTTTGACGGAACAAAATAGAAGGTCAGAATTTGAGTTTTTTGTATGTTGAGTTTATAACCTGAGAGTCTGCCATATGCTTCCAGGATGTTCATAAGTAATAAAATACCAGATTCAGGGTTTTTAATTACTACTAACACATCATCCGCATATAGACATATCTTGGTTTCCACATTCCCTATTATCACTCCCTCCAACCCAGGTTCCTCCCTGATAACTTGAGCCAGTGGTTCAATAAAAAGATTGAAGAGTAGTGGACTTAATGGGCAGCCCTGCCTGCATCCTCGTAATGTTATTTGGTTGGAAAGGCTTCCATTAATTTCAATTCTTGCTTTTGGCGAGGAATACACAGTTTTTATACATGAAATAAAGCTATCACAGAACCCAAATCTCTTCATTACTTCAAATAGAAACTCCCACCCTACAGTATCGTATGCCTTCTCAGCATCTAAGCTGAGAAGGACTGCACTTGATTTTTCTCTATATGATCAATAACATGAACGGCCCTCCTTATACTATCATGTGTTTGTCTATTACCAATAAAACCCGTCTGGTCCTCATCTATCAGGGAAGGCATCAGGGAACTTAATCTCTTAGCTAATATTCCTGCGTATAGTTTGTAGTCTATATTTAATACACTGATTGTTCTATAACTTTTAGGATCCGTTTTGTCCTTCCCCACCTTTGGTATGACCGATATAAACGCCTCTCGCCATGATGGCGGAAGAGCGCCCCCTCCCAGGATGTAGTTAAAGGAAGCCTTTAATAGTGGGAGAATAGATTCCTTCATGGCCTTGTACCACTCTGGAGGGAACCCATCACAGCCTGGTGATTTGCTGGTCTTAAGATTTGATATCCCACGTTCAACTTCCTCAGCCGATATTTCTGCCATTAACTTGTCATTTTGTCTTTTTCCTATAGATGGAAGATCCAGAGAGTTGAGAAAGTTTTGGATTGTTTGACTATCTGTTTTGTCTGGCTGTGTGTACAGAGCAGCATAATACTCTTCGAATAATCTCTGAATTTCTTCAAGTTTGTTGGTTATCTTGTTAGTTTTTGGATTCCAAACTTTATAGACTGTGTTTTCTTCCTGTTGTTTCCTAAGCCTCCATGAAAGAATCTTAGCAGCTTTGGGGCCTGCCTCATAATACCTTTGCCTCATATATTTAAGTTTTCTTTCAATTTCCTCACTTAAAATTTTGTGGATCTCCTGCTTAATAGGCCTCATTTGTTCTAGCAAAGAGGGGCTTTTGTTAATCAAATGCAGCTGCTCTAATCTTTTTAAATCTTCCTGCAAGTCTGTTAGTTTTTTTGTTCTGATCTTCTTTAAATTAGCACATTTTGCAATTATTTTACCCCTAATATATGCTTTAGCTGCATCCCATAAAATTGTAGGGCTAACTGTTCCATTATCGTAAAATTCTAGGTAACTTTTAAATTCCTCTGCCATTTCCGTTTTGAAAGCAGTACTATTTGATAATCCTGTGTTGAACCTCCATAAAGTATTTTTAGGATTCCCAATTAAGTTAATTTTTATATTTAAACCAGAGTGATCAGAAATGTCTCTTTGGCCTATTATACAATCTTTTACTCTGTGAAGGTCCCTATTGAACATAAAGAAATAATCAATCCTAGTATGTACATTATGCCTAGGAGAGTAAAAAGTAAATTCACGCTCATATTTATGAAAGTGTCTCCATATATCTATAAGTCCCAATTCTTGCAGTATTTTTTTGAATTGCTTTTCTAAGTGGGTCCTTTTTCGCTCTCTGCTAGTTGTATCCATTTTTGGATTTAGGGGTAAATTAAAATCTCCTTCACATATACATGTGCCATTTGTTTCTGCAGCCACAAGACTAAATACTTCCTTAAAAAAATCTATGCTACTACCAGGGGGGGCATATATGTTACATAGAATGACCTCTTCCTGTTCCAGCTTCCCCTTTACCAACACAAACCTGCCTTGCTTATCTTTATGTTCTGAAATAAATCAAATCTGATACTGTTTGGTATAAGAATGGCTACCCCTCTTTTTTTCCCCGATCTGTGAGAAGCAAAATATGTTTTTCTATAACCCATTTTCTTTATCTTCTCATGTTCTTCATTTGACAAATGTGTTTCCTGCAAGAACCCTATGTCAATCTGCTCTCGTTTAAGCTTTGAAATGATCTTGCTTCTTTTAATGGGATTTTTTATACCATTTACATTCAAAGTCTGTATATTATAATACTGCATATCCTCTAAGCATTAAAACGCTTCTTCCTACCCGCTTGACAACATTCCCAGCCCTGAGAACACACACAGAACAAAAAACCGTAGAAACAGAACTTGTCATAACAGTGAACAGGTCTTCCAAATAAGAGGATCGCTTATTCCTCTTAGTGCAGGGGGAAATTGCCACTATGTGGGGCCCCTGCCTAGTTGCCTATTCAATTCAATTTTCAATTCAGTTTATTTATATAGCGCCAAATTCACAACACATGTCATCTCAGGTCACTTTACAGTTCAACCAGATCATCCAGTCAAATTGATACAAAGTTTTCTATCTAAGGAAAACCAGTTGATTGCATTGACTCATTGACTCAAATACAATCCCTCACACTAAGCATGCTTGTAGCGACAGTGGAGAGGAAAAACTCCCTTTTAACAGCAAGAAACCTCCAGCAGAACCAGGCTCAGTGTGAGCGGCCATCTGCCGAGGCCGACTGGGGTTCAAGGAGACAGAAGCAGAGATACAAAAAGCAGCTGTAAAAGGCGGCGCCGTCCAGGAAACACACAGCCAGGCAGACGAGCTCCAAGGCAGCTCCCATGCCAGACGACGAAGAGAGCACATCCACTCAGTCACGGTCAGAGAAACAGGACCACACTGGAAAACAGGCCGATCTCCAACATCTATAAACAAGGGTGTTGATGGAAGCAGCACAGCTGATGTTTCTTTCCAGGATGACGTCACAGCCAAACAGGAACAGACGAGGCAAAGCTACTCTGAGGAAAAGCAAAGAGAGCAGAAGGTTAGAGATTGAACTAACAGATTCTGCAGAATAGGAGAACAGAGAGAGAATGAAGCAGAATGATGAAATCTCTAAAGAACCA